GCTATTTGGCCAGATCTTTACAGCTCGCTCCTTGGCCCGATCTTACAGCTCGCTCCTTGGCCCGATCTTTACAGCTCGCTCCTTGGCCCGATCTTTACAGCTCGCTCCTTGGCCCGATCTTACAGCTCGCTCCTTGGCCCGATCTTTACAGCTCGGTCCTTGGCCCGATCTTTACAGCTCGCTTCTTGGCCCGATCTTACAGCTCGCTCCTTGGCCCGATCTTACAGCTCGCTTCTTAGCTGATTTCTCATCGCACTATCTGACGTTGCAGTTCAGCATTCATACCGATGGTTTTGTATAACCAGTTGCTTTCCACGTTTTTTTCCAATGTTACACTAAATAAGATGTTAATGATGGATTGGGGAGGAGGCGAAATACTCTGGAAGATTACTAATTATGCTGCTAATGTAAGTTGAGGGGGGGGTGGGGGACGACGGTGCAATGTCTAGCCGGGAAAGAACCAGTGCCATGAATGTGAGTGGGAACAATGGGCAGGCTTGCAATTAAAATGACAGGCTGTGGACGAGCATCATTCCTCCCAGTCATCAGCTTCTGCTCTTCGCCATGTCAGCGCCGCATATCGCACCACTCCATCCCGACCCACCGGGCCGCCGCCGCCACGCGCGCCGCATCCTCCCACGCTACGAAAATATGGCCTGCCAAATGTGTCCGTGCCGGAAAAAAGCACTAATTAAATTGGAAACATTGAGACCTCTGGCTCATCAGCCTCGTATCGACGATCAATTAAGGGCTGCCGTACATGGCAGGGTGAGTTACGCCGTCACCTGAATTGAGAGCGGGTAGGAAAACCAGGCAGACGTTGATTCATGTCTGCTCCTCTGCACACTAATTGAGTGCCCTGTGTTGCCGTGTTACCAATTCAATAGAAGTGGGCCTCGTCCGCATCTGTTCCATGTGTTGGGTTTGGAGTGTGGAGCATTGATTGAACATTGACAAAGGTGCGTTATCACCAAAATTATCATCATTAACTAATGCGGAAACAAAAATGGTAGCAAATGCTTGTGTTTGTTAATCAAAATCAATCAACACAATCAAAAACGCAACTTAGACACAATAACTAAACTGACATGAAAGAAAATTCCAAAACTAACAAAAATAAAAATATATATTTTTTTGGTTTCTATTTTTCACCTTCTATTTTTGAGTCGCACTGTATGGAACCGTTGTCAGTGCCATGCTAGCTCCAAGAGGAGCAAGTGTGTCATGGATGTAAAAGGTCGATGTTGAGGTGCGCAGCTTAAGGAATGGAACCTGTGTATAAATAGGTGAGACGAGGGTTTACAATGTTTATAAAAGCTGTACCTTTATAAATAACTCATTGTACTTTGTGTGTTTTTCATTTGAGGGCTTTATTTCAGAAAATACAAACAAATAAAAATGCTCGAACTCATAAAACTCAAGAGAACCTAAAATAAAGGAAGCGAATTTGAAAAAAGTACTACAATAAGAACTAATATAAAGAAATGGAATTAAAATTACTCTGGTTGCCACATGGGGCTGCTGTTTTGTATAAATCCGTTGGACTTCTTCGTGCATTTAGGCTTTCAGTTCGCACATTCTCTCCCGCCTTTATATAATGTCAAATCTACCAACACATCTGGCTGTTTGCTGTGTTGTTGTGGTGTGTGTGTTTGGGTGATGATGAGGTCCTAGTTCAATGTTGCCTTTCCAGCTGTTTGTAAAACGTGCTCATAGCAGAGTACTTAAATGCTGAATTTGTATCCTGGTCAACGTGTTGGTCCAATGGAATGCTTACAGGGTGGGGGTGGGTGGGGGGACGGGGGGGGTGACCGACCGGCTGCTGGTGACACTCCAAGGCATTTGGAACCGGATTTGATATAAGTGGGTAATTATAAAAGTGATACCAGTGGAACCAGAAAAGCCATCGCTAGTCTCCTCATGTTCCCTCGTGTGCAATTTGGCGCCTGCAGGAACGGGGGCCCGCAGATGGAGAGTGCTTTTGTCTGAGGGCTTTTTCAGCTCACGCCACACACACACAAACATGCGTCCTGTGGGAGTTCCTATTCCGTCACACACACTCTGACACACTGCTTCACCATCATTCCTGTGCCTGGTAAATGTTAGCATTTCTGTGGGCCTCGCTCTCACGCCACTGTGTTCATGTATTTATGTATTTATCACAAAATGATCATCATTCCCCTCACACCTCTCCCTCTGAGGCGAAGGATCTGTGCCAGCAATCGGAAGGTTGCTGGTTCGAATCCCGTGAATGCCAGCAGTGATCCTACTTCACTGGGCCCTTAAGCAGAACCTCTTCACTTGCAATTGCCGCGTCCTGCGTGTGACGTTAACCTACATCCAGCCCTATAAGGAGGTCCTCCAACTTAAAGGGAATAACTTGGGGGGTTGGTGGCAGGATTGGCACTCCAGCCACCGGAAAAAACCTCACACTGGTCCATCTGAAGTATCACCGGCCACATGGCTGCACTCAGGTTCTCAGCCCTGAGGTGGTTCGTTGTGTGCTGGGTGCAGCAACACGCTGTATCGGCGCATTTCCTACCTCTCTCACTCTCACATTTTGAACTTAAAATTTTTCGTACTGTTAAACCATCCGGACATAAATGGTAAATGGTATTTGACGGTATTTTCAAAAGCTGCTTTTATGAAAAATTGCCGACTTCAAATTTCAGCAAATGTAAATACACGCCCTAAATACCGGCTAAATACAGTAGCTCTGTAAGTATGGGGTTTTTTTGCATGCGGGAAATTTTTAACTAGCTTATCCATGTAGACGCACATTATCTGCCTCAAGTACTTCCACATGTGAAAAATATCGCTAAATGATGCGGTGTGATTCTTCTTAATCCTTCTTTGATGTGATATGCGGGATGTCCTTCTGAAACACTGATATTTTGTGCAGAGGGGGTAATGAGGTTGCTTTTTTCTCTCCCTACCCGCTTCAGAAACCGAGGGCTTCAAGATCGACACTATGGGCACCTACCATGGCATGACTCTGAAGTCTGTGACGGTAAGCCTGATTATGTGTCTCTAGCAAAGTCCGCTCCCTTTTGCCGTCTGCTGTATCTGCCGACTGAATGCTGCTCGGCATTTAAGCCTGTCATCGCCGTTCGACTTCGTAACACGATTTTCTGTTTTTAGTAACTCCAGTTTTGTGAGGATTTTTTTTGTTTGTTTTTCCGGTTAGCTAGTAGGGAATATGCCACCGATGTTGGCCAGTTGTTTCGCATTTGAAAGTAAATAGCAACATCTGTTCATCTCTGTATCGCAAATGGCAGCTGTTCTTGTTGCATATCACCTTTTGGCTGCTACCTGCCAGCTCGCTCCTGCCAAAATGTCACATGGCTCTTGCGGATCGGCGCCCAGTTACCGCCAGAGCAGGGGTCAGGTTATTCCGGGGGAGCGCATGCAGGCCTGCTTGCTGCCGTCCTCGAATATTGAGAGCTCTTCTGTTTTAGCTGATTTATTTTATTTTATTTCCCAGGAAAAAACACACTTTTGTAATAGCATCTTGCTGGATATGATGTGCCAAACTCTTGTTATAGCTATATCATTATATCATGATTAATCAGGAAATCACATTTCATTGGTTAGCCCACAAATGATTGAATACACCCCTAACACACCCCCATCAACCATCTCATTTCTGATTGGTTCCCCTTCCTTAAGCGTCAGCTCAGTGCCCGCCCAATGCCAACCCATGAGTCCTTGATTACCGCATATCAGTGTTTCTGTAACCCATGATTGTTGTTTATATCTCCTGTTAATCAGCAAGTCACCCTTCATAAGATGCTGACACCAGTCCCTCGTCAAAACCATCCCGACTCCCATGTCCTCCAACCTTAGTCAGAGGGTAGTCGCTTTAGTAATTCTCGCCACCCGCCGCGACAAGACAGTTATCACCATCTGCTCTGGGTCACAGCACCCCAACAACACAACAACAAAAACACTTCTCTGCCTTCACTAAAATGATCTTTCTAGCACAGAATGGAGCAGATATCAAGCTAAACTATTAAATACGGTAAACAGAGTAAGTGTCAAAAAATATAAATTCAACCGCAGCTACTTAATACTCCAAGAACTTAATGTTAAACTACTAATTTCACTAAGGATTTTTCTAACATGACAGACTTTTATGAAGCTGCAATTACCTCTTAGGAGTACAACAGATTTAAATTTTTCTCTCACACCTGACATTGTAACAGCTGATATTTTTAGGGTCTGACATAGAAAGGTCAGACCTTACGGTCCAGTGGACTTTAATTAAAACTCCGACCGCGGAGCTGAGCGCCCAGGTCCTATTAGGCTTAGGTGTCAAATAAGATGGATCAGCTATAGCTGTGTGTGGTGCCTTTTTGTGCCATCCGCTGCCCCCCCCCAACCCTATTCCCTGGAAATTATTTTATGCTTGCTTGTAAATGCTTACAAAGAGCATTATATTTCCTTGCAAAAATTAAGGAAAAATTGCAGAAAAGTCGTAGTCAGCACAGCCTGCCAGATGGATTCGCATGGACGGCTTGGTGAGCATGTGTGTCTTTGAAATGTTGGATGTTTCACGCACTGGTCACGCTTGTGATGTTTAAAATGGAGGAATCTGCAGCAGTTTTTTTTTTTTCCCTCCCAACCACTTAAGTATTTCCAAGGACTTTTAGCTTTTGATTTTTAAATTGGATGCATTGCAGCCTTGGGCAGTAGCTTGCCTTTAACATGGTGTGTATGTGTGTGTGAGTAAGATGTATGGCTATATGATGCCTTTGAGCAGGTGACTGGTAACGGTAAATGTAGTACAGTTAGCAGTACAGTTCCTTAAGTGTGTTTTCCATCCCCTCCACTGGCTAAATTGCCCTGGAAACGCGGGGGCAACGTAGCAACGGCTTTGGCGCCGATGGTGCCGACATCTGTTATAACGGCAGCATCCTTGAGGCCTAGTGTGGGGCTCCGCGCTCTGATTGATAACTGCATCAGCCGACGGTGAGCACTGACCCCTCTCTGCCCCCCGAGTCTATTCCTCACGGCTTCTTACCGGAGTACGTGCGGCTCAGCATGATTAATTACCCTTTGTGGGTCCGCCGGTCTCCTAAGGCTGCACTTTGCACAATTAATCACCCCATAAGCCACTAGGACATTTATTTCAGTTCATAACCACCTGTGTTTTTTCCCTTTTCTCTTCCTCCCGGATGCCGTCTGGCTCCGGTCCTGCCCCGGCTGCTCACACGGGCTCCCTAATCCCTTATCGCTTTTGTCCGGGACGGTGGGGGAGAGGCACGGGTCCAGTGGGGGCAGCCATGTCTACAGCTTTTCTTTTCTCTTCTCTCTCTTTCTCTCTCTCTCTTTTTTTTAACCTTTCAATTAGCCATTGATTTACACCAGTAACAACAGGTGAGCATTGCTCCAAATAATGAGTCCACGAGGACAATTAAGCCCCAAGGCTGAGTGGGAGAAAGGACAGCGGGGGCCTGCGGGTCAGGGGGGAGCAGGGTTTGGGAGCCCCCGACGGCACTGGGGGTTAATGATGATGCTGGAACCGTGCTGCTCTGTCTGCTGCTCTGTCTGCTGCTCTGTCTGCTGCTCTGTCTGCTGCTCTGTCTGCTGCTCTGTCTGCTGGTCACTTGGTGGCTGTGTTGTATTGAAAATTTAGCAACATTAAGCTTTTTCTGTTTTTAGCTCTAAAGCTGTCTTTGCAAAGATGGATTTTTGGTTTCTCGGTGAATTGTTTGAAAAATGCTTTTCCAGAGATGCCTTTTTGCGTTGGGTTTGCGGGGTGGATACAAGTCAGCATCCGCATTGGGGTCTTAAAACGTCGTTAGGGAAACTGACCAGCAGAGTAGGCGGACAGCCGTTACCGAGGTAAACACTATGGTACCTGCACTATGGTACCTGCACACCGTCAGGAGGAGATGAACAATTGGGGTGGTCGTTATTCTCTGGGGTTTACCGTAAAACGACTGCAATGAATCTTGCTGCATAAACTAGCATTTGTTGACTGTGTTGCATAGTTGTCAAAGTTTTTGCGTGACTGGAGGCAGAACATGTTCCCGGTTTGGTCAGCCCCGGCGGTGACCTGGAACGCGGTCATCTTACGCCATTTCCAAACCTATTTTTGTCGCGCATGCTGTGCAGCCTCATTCCCGCCATCTGCAGCCCGGCCGCTCCTTTGCGGCCCTCGATCGGGCATGTGGCGGGTAACCGGGCCGCGCGGCTCTCAGGCCCAGGGGCGCCAGGGCAGCAGCGGAACGGGCCACCTGGCCTCCTGCGTTCCCCCTCAGCCCATAAAGGCTCTCATCACCGTGAAGCGCGGCCTGCCACACACGACAGTAGGAAGAGACGCTCCGGAGAGGTCAGAGCTTCTCCCAGCTCTCTCTGCTGCTGTGTGAGCCTGGAGGGCAAGGCCCTGGGC